TCTTATTAGGTTGGAAAGGAGTTCACTTCTGGATTGGACTTGGAGCGCGTAGACTACAAAATTCCGGATATCATCCCTGCTGCTGCTGATGGCTTGCTTTCCGAATGTCCTACATACCGTGAAATGGTAAATAATGCCTTCGTATTTGTTCATCAAACTCTACATCAAGCAAACAGGCGGCTTCAAAAGAGGGGTGGTCGTACGATGTCAATCACTCCCCGACATTTCCTCGACTTCATCGCGCATTACGACTCATTAATAAAAGAGAAACGAACGGACTTAGAAGAGCAGCAATTGCATCTAAACATTGGTCTTCAGAAGATCAAGGAAACTGTTGAACAAGTATGTTAGCTATATAACAACGTCTATGCGCTTTTTATCATTCATTCGATATTTTGTTCATTTTATTCAATCTATGCTAGAGTATTTTTTGACCTTTAAAATGCATTTTATTAGCTTCATTTATTATCTGTTATCAGTTCAACCATAGTTACTTACGGGCTTGCGCAATCTTGGTCGTTATTTCTTGATGATTTTTGGCTGACGTTACTCTGAATGGCGCGTACAGTCTTTAACAAACGCGCACAGACAGACAAATTCGGGTATAAGGAACTAAGCAAACAATTCTACATCGATCTTTACCTAAATATTTTTTTCATTATAATTATATATAGCATGGAGGATATGCTGTGCTTCGTTTTAACTTGAATCTTGCAAGAATGAATCCCAGCCTTTATACTATAAGTCTTATGAAGAACGAAAGCTCAGTCCGCTTTCATCCGAAGCAAAGGAGGATGTCTTGTCAACCTCAACGTCAACGGGTTTTAGTCGTCCTCTTCTGGCGCGATACACCTACATTTTACAGTTCAGCTTCTGCTGATCGACAATCAATAGAGCTATTGTATTGACAAAACCAACCATTTGTATTTTGCATAACTACCAATGCCTTAATTAATATTTGACAAAGTGTACATTATCCTCAACTAACGTTTGTCATGGGGATTAGTGTAATTATGACATATACATATTTGCCTCTTAAATCATACGGTACTTTTGGAGAGTAGTCTCATATATTTCGAAAATCAACATATTTATATATTCTCTTTTATTAGTCTATTGGAAGAGATTAAATGAAAAAACTTTTTGATGCCACCTTTTACTGAAAAGCGACTTCGTTTTATAAGATTTAGCTCTGTGCTATAATTTTTAACTGTCACTTTTGTCATCGTTATCTCACTCTTGTGCAAGCTTTATTGATTTCTTTCTTATTTATATTCATCATCATCCTAACTAGTCCGAGTCTCAAGTAAATGTGATCAATTTCTAATTTGCGAAGAATTCAGTCAAAATTTTGTTAAGTATTACGAAAGCTTTAAAAATATGAGTTTTTTTACACAAGCTCATAAGTTATCTTGCTAGTTCAGCATTCATCAAATAACTACTTCTCAGTATGACAAAGACATTTTCCTGTTGTTATTCATTTTCTTTTTTATTTATTTACTATTTTACTTATTTACTATTGGTCCTCGCTTGTTTCTCATTTGATCTCATATCCTAAATTTAGGTAGAGGTGATGCAAAAATCCCTTCGTGTTAAACGGCAGGAACTTGAAGTCATGAATGAGGCTGCTAATGCCAAACTAAAGCAAATGGTCCAGGACCAGCAAGAGGCCGAACAGAAGAAGACTCACAGTCAACAATTGCAGGATGAACTGGCCAAACAAGATGTCTTTATTCGAGAGAAACGCAGCCTTGTTATGGACGAACTGAGCCAAGTAGAGCCCGCTGTAGAAGAGGCCAAGCACGGTAGGTCGACTAGTTAAATTCACTCCTTAAGCTTTTTATGTATTCCTAATTATTTTCGTTTTCATTTTTAATGTTTTTCCTGACCTTTCTAACTCATTTGCTTCCAAGAGCATAGATAAGTCTAATAATGAATTTTTACTATCGTCATCATGATCTTACTATAGCTTTAACTTTTAGCATTTTTTCACGTGTGTGACTATTAAGTAGTAGTCGTAAAATTATTTCTAGCTATGGGCCGGGTTGATTTCCATAACTGGATTATAGAGTTTTATTGTATTATCCACTAGAGGCAAAATAAATGCATCCATTTGAAAAAATATTTGTGCTTCAACTTGGTCTTGATTTTACATTTAAACCTCTGGAGCAATCATGCTTTGTTAATTATGCTTAACTGCAAATTCTAGTCTTAAATGATTAGACGCTCTTATACATCAAGTTAATGATAATGTGAATTTCTTTAATCTTATCTTATAATATTTTATTTTTCATTCTGATTACATCAGTTAAGTGAACTTGAGTTTCAATTTTTTAATTGAACTTACGAAGATCAGGATGCTGTGATCTTTGGTATAGTCGCGGTCCCCTTACGTTGTATAGAAGTTGTTTAAACTTGCTTTCGCAAGCGAGAAATTGTAATAGTGTTGCGGATAATACTAGGATATAGGATAGCTGAACGTACTAAGACAGAAGGAAAGATACCGCAACTATTTACCAGGCAGTTGGTCAAAGAGTGGACTTTATTTGTCTCTTTGATGAGTTGTAGTGCGGTGCTGACACTGGCACGGTTCAATGATGATGCCGGTGAAACGTCCTGGAATCTACCAACTACACGATTTGATGCTGAAAATTATTATGGGTACTATGGACTCCGGACGAGATGCCTTCCTTTAGATCTCTTTAACAACGCAATCTAGCTTCGGGAAATCAATTCTATTCATTATTTTAAGTTCACTTAATTCCTCAGTGATATAGAAGTCGTTTAAGTTCTTTTCGAAATGAATTAGAGGCGCTTGTCGATGTAATCATATTATATGAGATGAAGAACTGGTAGTAGGATATTAAGTTTCCATTGGATTTCACATAGCCTTGCTTTCCCAAAAGCAGGGTGGACTGCAGTTTCGACCTCGCATAGGTCTTATTAACACTCACCAGCGGGAGTCGAACCCGGATAGTGCAGCACGTGAGCTTAACTCTTCACCCATTCGACTACATTGCCATGAGTGCTCTTGGGTCCCGATTACGTCATTCCCACTTCAGTGTCTGGGAATCTTTGGATTTTATGCCGTTAAATCTGGTGTCATGTAGTGAGCATATCTTCCGCCATCTACTTCTGAATAAATAAACCTTTACAGACGGTTTTCCTTTCTGATATCTTCTTTTTTAACAAGTCTTCCTCACATAGACACTACCACTAGCACAAAAATCTATAATAACCTGATCTGCAGAGGGTATCGGAAGATTCTCTTAAAGGAGGCATGATCGAAGTAAGCGTTAGTATTGCCTTCTACATTTTCTATTTAATTCGCCTCTTTCGAAAGCTGGGATCACAGTAACATCATGAACCTAGTTAAAGAATTGTCTAATTTCCTGTTATTACCCAAATATTGGCGTATTATCCCATTTCTTAGTATTTTCGAAATTCTTGACAATTAATCCCACCGTATAATTGTTCTCAACTAAGCTATTTATGAGTCTTTATAACTTTTAATCCTATTTATTTAAGTCCGCTAGACTTCAATTTCCTCCTGTCTTAACGCCACAACCATAATTTGAGAACTCATTATGAAGGATATCCGCTTTTATACTTTCCCCCACTAATTTGTCCTCTTATTTAATAACGAGAACATCTAGGAAGAAATCATCTTACTTTTCTTTGTTAGCTCCATATTGAATTCAGTCCTATCTAATCTATCCATTAACTTAACGAAGTCTTACTATCTTTGTCTTGCTGCCAAATAGCAAAGCAATATTTCATTTAGCTAAATAATAGTTTCGGAACTAAGAATGCTTCCTGTTAAATCAGGCCTACAAGTGGGACAGGTAGGTATTAGCTAAGACTGGAGACAAACACGATCATATGGCTAAACTTATAGTTTGATTACGTAATTAACCATTTAAGTTAAACTGTACTTTTTATTATTAAGTTGGTGAATCTCATTATCGCCTCTTTGCTTATCTCATTTATTGTTATAATATCCTAGTAGTGATCTAATGTTTATCCTATAGCCTGTATGGCTATATCGGTATTATCATATAAATCGATAGTACATCAAAACTTACAAACAAATCTTCCTGTTATATTATTTGCCCATCTATTAACCCAATAAAGTCATAAGGATTCTTTATTCAAGATTTATCAAAACCCTAAATTTTATTTAATTGGCCACGAATAAATCATGATGTTTTACACATCACACAACCCTTATTGTTCAGAATAATCTTAATTAGTCTACCAAATCATGCAATGCCTCTTCAAGATCGCAATGAGGTATAAAAAGTCACTCGATTTTTATGCTGCCTATATTTTAAATTACGTAACGCTGTCACGTGTGCCATGGGCCACAGGACAGACTTTCAGGATAAGCCTTTTATCAAATTTATAGTGATATTTTTGATGATGCAAATTAGTCACTTATTTAAGATATGAAGACCAAAATGTTGTGGCCTCTGGTATGGTCGCAGTCCCCTTTCGATTTCTAGAAGTGTATTAACCTCGTTGTCACAACTTGATCTTGTTGTCAGAGGGACTTAGTAGTCTGAAGTCGTCTGCGATAGTAGTTGTCACGATTCCCAGCATTAGACAGGGGACTTGGTACCTTCTAAGACGTTTCGCCAACATTGTGGTCGGCATTATCAGTGAGTTTTGCCATTCTTACACCAAGCTACGAACTCCTCAACGAGATGGGCAGGTTCTGATACATGCAGTACATATTTACAACGATTTATATTCTTCGTACGTTGTATAATTTGCTGAACAGCCGGAATATCTTATATTAATCAAAGATAGTATTGTCTGTTTGGTCGCAATCTTCTTTCAGTATTGTTCAGCATTATCTATAATTGGAGCAATGGACGACGCTGGAACAACTTGCTAGTGGCAAATACTGACTAAACTATACCGAATAAACGTTTGTGAATTTTTCAGTTCGAGTCATGCCAAAGAAAACACGAGCAGTACAACAGCAGCGAGCATACACCTTTGTACACCCTTTTTAATCTATCATTAAACTAGATTTCCGCAAACAAGATCAGACAGCATATTTGACACTTCTAGTTATACCTGGTTCTCTTCACCGTTCCTTTATTGTGAAAGGATTCTAGATAAGTAGTTAGTCTGAATTTATATGCTACATTTTCTGCTGGATTTTTATATACGTATAAAATCACTGGCATCCTGTACGATCTAGCTGTGAATGATATCAAACGGGCGCAACTCGTTGAAATCCGCTCCTTGGGCAACCCACCTGCCATCGTGAAACTGGTACTTGAATCCATCTTCACTATGCTCGGCGAGGCAGAGCTTGACTGGAAATCGATGCGATCATACCTGTTTCGAGACAACTTCATTCCCTCTATCGTCAATTTCAACGCCGATGATTTAACGTGAGTCTCCGATGGCGATTTTTCGCTCGACCCATATGGCTAATTTTTTTACTACTATTTCCATAATGCATGGAAATCATTCCTGATATAGAATTTACAGTTATTTTTGTAGTTTGAAACAGATTTTTTTATGAAGCCTGAGACCAATTTTGGGATTTTACAAATAATATATCTTCTTATTCCTCCCTTTGTTCTTCCCATAATTTACCACTATTCTCTCTACTCCTCCCAACAACCCTCTTCTTCCATCCCTCCATTGATTGCTGAACATTCACACTACTAACTTGACTTCAACTTCTTTCTTGCATTGGTTTCTGAGTTAATCGTTTCGATTATTCATATTTTTCTTCACGATATTGCCCCTCAACCTGGCTGCTTCATGCGCTCTATAATAAATCTTGAGAGCTAATATACCTGATTTATTTCGAACCTCAGACTACCCATCTGCTCGTCGTATCTTGTTTGCCACTTTATCTTTTGTTTGGCTTTTTCCATCACATTTTTTAAATCTTGGGTCGTATGCACCCATCTTATACTCTACCTATGTTGATTAATTAGCTGTTGAGGGTATTCGTAAAAAAGATATTCAGGAAATCAGAGCAATGAAAAACCCTCCGCCAGCTGTGAAGATGGCTTTAGAGGCTATCTGCTTGCTGCTTGGAGAGAGGACCACCGACTGGAGACAAATTTTGGCTTTGATTGTGAAGGATACATTCGTTCCAAGCATTATTAATTTCAATACTGATGATATCAGGTTAGATACTTGAGTGGTATGCTTTCCCAGCACTAATCTATTCGACTTTTTTCATTCCTTTCTTATTCCGTCACGCTAATTTTCTTTTAAAGCCCACTTAACACCTGCTATAATTCTGCTTACTAAAATTAACTGTTGATGTTAAGTTTACGATTAGCTAACCACTATCAAATTGAAGGCTCAATTTTTCACTAACTAAAATGAGATCCCCTCTGAATTTTTTTGCTTACTGTTGTAATTTTGGACTCTGTGTGTATGAGCCATTCCTTAACTTTTTATTTCGTCTTTCAAAAGCTTAATCAAATTTTCTACAATCTTTTAAAACCTTTTAATAACATTGATAAATGGTTTCTTGAATATAAAAAATATTACTAGATAGCTAAGCATCTTAATATAGCTTGTCGAAAAATAGTTGTTTTGACTAAATTCACCAAAGGGCTTATTGCTTTCACATGTATCGACTTTGATGTATCGACTTTTAAAAAACATTCGGCTGCAAAGGTGAATTTTTACGAAAATCAACCTACGTTATATATATATATATATATATATATATGTCTAATTATCTAGAATTATTCTTTATTTCATTACACTTGGCTTACTTGTATTTTCAACGCTTTAACCCGCGCACTAAGCAATCACTCAATTTTGCATGAAGCATTATAACATATGTCAGTTATGTTTATCTTGAGTCACTTGCAAAACTATCAGTAGATCCTGAATAAGAACTCGAGTGACCTAGGGTTCTTGAGGTGTTTTAAAGCTTGTTGTTACTAATTAATGACAAGCACCATTTTGCTTTATCGACAACAATTTTACAATGAATATGAATTGGGTTAGACTGGCTTTTAACTCATACCAGTCCTATGAATCAGTGGCATTTGTAGCTGTTTGGTGGAATGTTAATGCTGGTGCTTGATAACCACGAGCAGGTCTCAAATCCCATGATAAGTACAGATAAGAATCAGGCGAGACTTAAACCGCGTTTCAGCTAAGATTATAAAGGCCTTCAGACAGCAGAGCTGGGTGATTTTCCGTTTATAAATAGTTTTTTATGAGTCTACCAGTAAATCTTATAAAGGAGCTGTATTCATTCTATTTCGCTTAAGAAATTGAATTTTTCCATAATCTGATTACTAGGCCTCGTGTTTCCATTTGTTTTCACACTTAGCCTTGTCTCCCAAAAAGTATTCTGATCTAGATTAGACTAGACAGCATTTTCAACGTCATCAGCACCCCCAGCGGAACTCGAACCCGGCTTGCGATACCGCAGCATACAATCTCAACACGTTAGCTACCACCCTGTCAGACACAGTCACGAGTGCCCCTGGATGACAGGGTAGATGTGAATTTCAGGCAAGGCCAGGCCTTTCCAATAACATATTTCAGTGCTGGACTTGTCGGCGGCAAAAATTCTATTTGCCACAACAATTGATTACATTACTTGTTTTCCGTTAGTAGCCCATTGCCATAGTCAACTAAATTTTGCCCCCTCGACAATCCTACACAGAAATATAACTTATCTGAGCAGCATAGGCTTCCTCCTGGAAAGAAGACACAGTGGTTAAATAGTCGAGACCATACACCACAATAACCCGAGTTTGAGTCTTGCTGGGGGTGCTGATAGGTCAGTTTAGGCGAAGTTGAAGTCGTATTTCAGTATAGTATAGCTTGGGCGAGAAAACTTTTGGGAAAAAGGGTTGTGTGAAAATAACTGAAAAAATGAGGCTCGCTCGTAGGATTGTGGTAAAGTTTAATCACCAACTATATCACCTTAAACGAAGTGGCTAAGTAAAAGTTATTGGCACTATAAGGCATTCTGTCGTTTTCATCATTTGAGTATTCTGTCAGTCTTCACATCGCGATACTAGGGATATCGAGCTGTTATTTCTATTAATTTTTATTTGGTA